CTCTCCCTCTGCCTGTCCCTGTGCTCTTTCTCTCTCAAATAAATAAATCTTTTTTTTTAAAAAAAGACTTAAATGATAGTCTGTATTTGCATATTTCTATTGAAGTGTCACATCCATTATTTCCATGCAGTTACTTCTTTTGAAAACATTAATTCTGTTCAGTTCAAGCAATGTTTATTGTTTATCATGTACCAGGAACTTGTTTCCATTCACAGAGGACAAATGTGATTAAGACAGTGTTCTTCTCTTAGGAGCTTATTGCCTTATGATTGAGACAAGTCCAAAAAGGATGTCAACATGTATGCTAAAGTGTTCTCTACTTTTCTGTTTCTCTTTCACTCAAGGGGAGTTTATGTCACCCCAAGTCCATTCCCAATATGAGGCTGTGAAATGAATTCTAGTTAATGAATATAAATATATTAATACCGCAGTTTTCATTTGAACCAGGCGTTATGTAAAGTGACTTTTATCTTCCAAAATCTTGTGTTTGATTTTTACATCAATGGCAATCAGCAAACGGCAAGGAAAGGCAACTCCTCCCCCTCTGTTTTCTAGCTTTACTAATGCAGAGAATTCATTTTGAACCACGAAGTGGGATATACCTTGTTGGGAAGTGGTTTCAGAGTCCTGTTAAATGTTAAAGATGTGCTGGCAGTTGGAGTTTCCATAATGTAATCTAAGCCATCATTTCCTGGAAAGGTTCCAAACTTGCTGAGTCATTAATTTAGCATACCAGGTTAAAAAGCAAATTCAGTCTCTAGAGAAGCAGGGTATATTATCTGTGTAAGTAGGTGTTCAGTGCATATCATTTTAACTTTGGCTGTAATTTCAAATGAATACTGTTAGCATAAGAATACTACAGATGCTTTACAACACTACAGACTTAAAAATTAATTTCTGCAATCTTTATTTTATCTCTAATCCAGGCTTTAAAAATCAGCTTTCATAATTTTTCTGTTCTCATATTCTCCCCTGTCTGTGATGTGGATACATCTTACACTGAGAACAGAGAAGAAATCTTGACACTTTGCATCAGCTATAATTTGCCAAATCAAATCATTTGTACACAGGCATCCCAGTACCGTACTTCACAGTTATGTCAGTTCTCCCAAAAGCTGCACACCTGTAACTTGGTCTAAACTCCTCCACTCAGGAAAAGAACAATTCATAATACCACTGGCTAATGTAGAAATGTAAATTTTTAGAAGTACATCCTCCTGCATGTGCTTACCATAATTATAGAGAAGGGAATTTGAGATCTGTCCTGTAAGTTTTGAGCCAGTTTTTGCTCTGAACATAATAATGAAGCAGAATGAAACAAAATGTAGCTGTTCCCTTTGCAGAGCATTTCAACTTTCCTCCCCTATGCCCATAAAAAACAATCATTCTGCAGGTTGCTCAGGTTCACCAAATACATAGTGCCAAACTGGAACAACAAGTAGCAGTTGGAAATAATTTAAACACCACTTAGTTAACCTAGTAAAACCTTCACTGGTGTTGATGAGTAGAGAAGAATTTTCTCTTTACCAGAGTTGACTTTAAAGAAAGATCTTACAGGGCACCTGGGTGGCTCAGTCGGTTAAGCATCTGACTCTCGATCTCAGGGTCATGAGTTCAAGCCCCACATTGGGCTCCATCTGGGCATAGAGCCTACTTAAAAGAAGAAAAAAGGGGAAGGTCTTAAAGGACTGTGCACATTATAAATATACAAATAAATAAAAAAATAAAATTAAGTAAGTTAAGGAAGAAATAGTACTCTTTCTCTTTATGTTGTATGATAATGTGTCAACATGCACAAAAGCCCGGTTGTTTAAGTCAATGTTACTCCTTGACTTTGACTCACCACTATGTCTAATTTCATGTTGAAGTTATTTTAAAGACCAAGCTAGTTGGATTTAGATCGGGGAGATTTTATTAAGGATCTTTTTTTTTTTTTAACATTACCAATTTCTAAATTTTGCCTACTTTGTTACAACAAACAAAATACTGTAATTATGGCTTTCTGGTGCACATACCTTCAAATAAAACTTCACATAATTGAAATTACATTTTTTGGCTTAAAATGGTAACTGAATATTAATTATGAAGGAAAATGTATCACTGATTCTGAAAATCCTTAGGAATGTTTGGTTTGTGTTCACATCATTAGAATTAGTTTCGAAGGGATGATTGGCAGGATTACTGAAAAGTTGGTTCTTTAACATTTACATAAACAATGATAAATGGGTATTACAGGGCAACAGCCTTATTTCATAGGCTTTTGTTTGTTTTACAGTCTGTTGTATATCAGTGAAGGCCTTGTTTTGCATTTTAATTGAAGAATGGATAAATATAAGCACTTACAGAGTTATCAAACAGTGACCCAGTCTTCCTTTTTTGTCTTAGCTTCTGAGATTTGCATCCTGGTAGGAAAAAGCCCATGCACGTGTGTGTGGATACTCCAGACACAGAATATAATTCTTCAAACAAAACTTCCAAAGCCTTTCCCATTCTCCCTTTTCCAGAGTGTGTGTTATCTAGTAAGATTAGACAGCACAAGCTCCTTCTAGAAGTAAATCAGTTCCCACATAAGTCACCAAGCTTGCAACGCATCTCAAGATTTTAAAGCTTTACTTTTTAATTTAGAAACATAGGCCACATTGAAATTAAGTCATGTATTTGGAACTATGAGAAAAGGTGATGATACGTATTTCTGGTCATGATGCTAGCTGATTTTAATTTTAAAATGTCATGAATGCCAGGAGGGTACTCTTTATTAATGCTACTAAAAGCTTAAATTGCTATTAAATCTTAAGTGCTATTAAAGTCTTAATTTCTGATACTATAAATTACAGAATTTGTGAGTTGTTATTCCGTGCCAAGCACACATGTAGCTGTGTGAATCTCACCATTGCCTGAATGTGTGTATAATACAGTCTCTAGGCCACAGTGACAGCTAACTTATCTTCTATAAACTCACATAACATTTTAAAATTCCATATGCAGTCCTGCCTTGAAGGTAATAAAGGAAATGATTTTTTTAAGTTTTAGGCAGTGTTTAAGGCAGTGTTTATGTGGATGTTACCGTATTGGCTAAGAAGAAAACATTCAATTTATCAGATTGCCTCTTGCTCTTCTGAGTGACTTTGCTCCACGGTATAGTAAAGAGCCCTTTGTGAAACTGGTTCTATTAACATAGCCTAGAATTAGGTGTCTTAAATTAAGGAAAATAGTTGAAGAGTGATTTGGTCAACTTTTCATAGGATTTTCCAAATCTGAGACCATTTTAAAATGTGACATCAGGTCAGCTTTTATTCTGAGTGTTGAAACTTTCCAACTATGGAAAAATACCAATTTTCATTTTAGTCTGTGCTTAAAACTGGCCCATTAGCTACAGTTACTCGAGAAGGACACATAAAACTGAGACCTAACCCTGTGGATTTAATTATTTTTCAATTCCATTGAAGATATTTATTCAGTATATTCGTATTCATGATTCTGGTCTGGCAAACCTTTGGCCTATCATTGTACTCCCTCAACTTCTCTGCAAGAGTTGAACCATTCCAGAGTAATTATCCTTTGCAGTTTTCTTTTATAGGATTGTAATTACAAATTTAACTGTAGACATAATATCCCTGTGTAGAACTTCATCTCAGATTTTTTTTTATTGCAGCTAGTAAATCTGCAAATCAAAATATTTCCAACAAATGGTAACAAATGGTGCTACCTTTTGGTGCTGATAGGCATTGAAATGGGTGGAAATTGTACATAAATATGATTTTTTTTCTCATCTTGTCAGTAACCATTCCAAATCAGAAACTAATTGAGTAAGGTAATAATATAAGGGCTCTGGAGGCAAACAAACATGGGTTCAGGTTTTAGCTCTTGTAGCATTTGACTCAAAAGAATATATTTAAATTTTATGGGCTAAGATACCTTGACTTTAGCTAATAAAGCTTATCTTGTGAGGTGTCTCGTACAATGATTACTGAGGGTAGGAGCTTAATAAATGAGATCTATAAGTATAGTAACTATTAAAAAGTAACTCAATTCCTCTTTTATTCTGATAATTCCAAAATACATTTATTCTGATCATTCCCAAGTACATTTCCTTGATATCAAGAGCTACATGAAATTGCCCAAAAACATAGAAACAATTTTAATTCATTTTATTTTAAATTAACTCATTTAATTAAATTTATTTGAATGTAATAATGTAATAATTGTTATAAATTTATATTAATTTGTATAATAATGAATTTCTATATATAATGTAACAAATTTAAATGAATTATTTAATTCATTTAATTTTAATTCATTTACTTAAAAATCTATGTACTGGGCTGATTAAATAATTTTTAAAATGAGAGACAAGAGTGCACAGAGATGTAATTATAACCAAACACCCATATTTGTGTGTCTTGTATAGTCCACTAGTTGCTTTGTTTTTTAATTATAAAAATGAGAGTATAATTTTAACCCTTCACTTTTCTGTTGTTGAGGAATAATATCAAACCATATTTATTTTTGCTTTGAGGAACTTCAGAGGAACCGTAAGCACTTTTCAGATGATGCACTATGCAGACTGCTTGCCTTTTTTTAACCACGTGCATGTCATACTTCAGAAAATGTCAAAGAAATAACATGTGCAGTGGGGTGAAGGATCATTGTGTGTTTGCCTTCAACTTTATACTTCTGCATTACAACTAATTATGTTACTTTTTAAAAGCCCCAAATTTGAAAGTTCTAGAAATCAGTTTCAAATATTCTGATCTCTAATTCTCTTCTTTTCAGACTGTAAAAATAAGGTAAGTCAGATGAGAAATAAAGGGGGTATAAATTACATTAAATAACAGAAACACAATTTTAGTTTACTCCTCTCATTTCCTTATGGACCCAACCACTAAACAGTAAAAACAATTTATATCTATATAGATATATAGATATATATATGTTTATATGTATATATAAAACAAGTCATCTCTTACATCTTATTATCCTTTATTGTATTTCAAACATAGCAAAAGTCACCATCAGAGTCCTTTATTGGTCGAGAGAAGAGGTCGAATTCTCAGTCATACATTGGACGACCGATTCAGCTTGACAAGATTTTGATGTCCAAGGTGAAAGTGCCACACACGTTCGTCATCCACTCATACACCCGGCCCACCGTGTGCCAGTACTGCAAGAAGCTGCTCAAGGGGCTTTTTCGGCAGGGCCTCCAGTGCAAAGGTAAGGAGAATCTTGCCACCGGACATTTGTCGCCAGCCGCACTTTGATCTGGAAAGTAGTCCTCATCCATTTGAAATTACTGTTCTTTTTCTTAGTTCACAACTCCTCTTTCTGATGAGTGCTTGGTTTTTGTTTCCTTTCACAATCGTTGTGATCAGATTGCAGATTCAACTGTCACAAACGTTGTGCATCCAAAGTACCCAACAACTGCCTTGGTGAAGTGACCATTAATGGAGGTAAGTGAAAGATCAACTGTCACATCTGTGCTTCTTCCCTGTTCAAGAGTGTGTCTGTAATGACTTCACAGGATTTTTTTTTTCTGTTACTTGTGACCCAGCCCAAAGTAAATTATGGGCTCAGTTTGTTCTATTTGACTTTAGAAAAACGCTCTTCAATGAGTTTTGATGAAAACCAAAGAGCTTGAGGCGCCTGGGTGGCTCAGTCATTAAGCATCTGCCTTCAGCTCAGGTCGTGATCCCAGGGTCCTGGGATCGAGCCCTACATCGGGCTCCGTGCTTGGCAGGAAGCCTGCTTCTCCCTCTCCCACTCCCCCTGCTTGTGTTCCTGCTCTCACTGTCTGTCAGATAAATAAATAAAATCTTTAAAAAAAAAAAAAGAAAACCAAAGAGCTTCGCTTGATTTTTATGCAGTGCACAGCTAGTACTGAAAACTTGGATGTCCAGAATTTCTTTCTCAGCTTTCTTCTTAATACTTCTTTCCTAGTTTGTTCAGAAATGTAGAAAATGTTGGAATGCCTGCAAGTTATAGCTCTCAGTCTCTTTTTCTTCATCCTTCTCCTTCCAAGCATTGGGACAAAGATTAATTTTTCTTTGGGAGGAAAGGGAGGGAAGAATCAGAGACTGACCCATCAAGAAATAATCACCCACTTCCTTCCTCCACCCAGTTAATTCGGTTATATGTGTGCTTATTAACTTGAATCTTTAATAATAATAAAAAGAACTTTAATTCAGCCAATTAAAAATATATATTGTTTTTTATACTTGGGAATATTCTTTTGAGAAAACTCTTAACTGTAAAAATTAACTTTGAAAGATTCCTAAGTAAAATACCGTGTCCTAAAGGAACAGCTGACATTTTTTTCTTCCTGAGTAGTATTCCTAATGGAGTCTTAGTAAAATATTTGACTTAGTACCCCAGGCTAACTTTTTCTGTAGACAGTGGACTGCTTTATACCTTGAGTCTAATATCAGTTTTGTGATTCCTCTGGAAAAAAAAAATGGTGGACAGAAGACCAGAGAAAAAAATTGAGTATTTTTAATGCTAAAACTCTGAAGAATAAAGGGTTACCTTTTCTCTAGAACTTTCTTCTCTAGAAGAAATATGTACCTAGAAGAAGAAGGGAAATCTCTCAAGGAAAGCATTCCTACTAGTTCCTGCCTTGGAGATTCATGGATTAGCTGCCAAAATGGAAATCTTGGCAGTCTTCCCACTTTCTGTGGCATGTGGAATTGACTTTTTCAGGCCCAGGAAATGTCAGTATGTTCTTGATAACTGGAACTAAGGGGAAACAGTGCGGTTTTTGATATTGTTGATTACTTTGAAATGGCATTTTCCCATACAGTCAGAAAAATCTGGTAAAAACATGAATTTCCCAAGCTTGGCAGGCTGAGGTCCATGATCTGTTTTTCAGTTTAAAATAAGTACTCTGCATTTGTAAGTACAGTCAACACTTGAACAACTTGGGGATTGGCGGGGGACCAACCACCCCCCATACAGTTGAAAATCTGACTATAACTTCTGGCTCCCCAGAAGCTTGACTGCTAATAGCCGATTGTTGACCAGAAGCCTATTAATAACATAGTTGATTAACACACATTTTGTATTTATATGTATTATATACTATATTTTTACAATAAAGTAAGCTAGAGAAAAGAAAGTGTTATTAAGAAAATCATAAGGAAGAAAATATACATTTACAGTACTGTATTGATCAAAAAAAAATCTGTGTGTAAGTAGACTCACACAGTTGAAATCCATGTTGTTCAAGGGCCAACTGTAATTATAATTTATTGCATTGCCATCAAATGCATGATGACAGGATTCAGTATTACTTCAAACATCAAATATCTTAAGTATTTAAAAACTGCTGCTTATGTGACCAATTGGATATATTGGAATCCATGACTTAAAAATTTACTGGAATAGCAAGAATCGGTGACCCTGAGTCTTCTTGCATGTCAAAGTTTCCCTCATCCTCCCATGTATCCCTTTTTTCCCACCGGGGCTGGGCTACTGAAATAGACCAGTTTCCTCCTCACTCGTTCCTGGTATCACTTTGCTTCCTAGAACTTTGCTTCTATCCTACCCTTGGCTTCCTGCCATGGCTCTCCATGTCTTTTCATGTTTTTAGGCTTAGGGGCATGAAAAAGAAACATCTGCTTATAAAATTATGTATTCATCCACTGATAATTTCAGATACTTATGAACTAAAATTTAAAAAAAAGAAAAGGAAAGAGAGGATAAATTCTTGAAATAAGTATTTTTTTAGGGCTTCCAATTGATATGTTGTAGGATTGCCTAACTCTCTTAAGCCCTGACTCTAGGATTCCAGGCTTATCTTCATGGATGCAAAACAATTTTTTAGATTTGCTTAGCCCTGGGGCAGAGTCTGATGTGGTCATGGAAGAAGGGAGTGATGACAATGACAGTGAAAGGAACAGTGGGCTCATGGATGACATGGAAGAGGCAATGGTTCAAGATGCTGAGGTGGTGATGGCAGAGTGCCAGAATGACAGTGGGGAAATGCAGGACCCAGACCCCGACCCCGAGGACTCCAACAGAACCATCAGGTGAGGGCTGCACTCCCAGTCTCACGCCAGCAGGGGAATTTCCTTTTTAAGATTCTTTGCTATTTTTATCTATTGGAGAAGAAATTTAAAGCGTGTGCTTGATTTGTTTAAGAATGCGATGTGAACTAGGGGAGAGCCAGTGGAGTTAGGAGGTCTGGATAGCCTTAGAGAGGTGTAGTTTTGCATCCTTTCTAGCATTGCCTCTTTCTGTGATCGCTTTTCTTTTGCATGTGAAAGTTACTCATATTTGCCAGCCACAGGTTTACTGCTAAATTAATGTTTATTCAGAGTTCATTGTTTGGACCTGCAAAGATCAGGGGCCAACATCAGTGGATACCATCTATCTTATAGCTGGCCCCTTATACAAATATCACATATGTCTACATCTTACTGTTCTGTATTTTATTTCAGAAGTATGTGAAATTTTATATTTGGGATTTGATCATCTGTACTTCTAGATTACTAGATGATCCCCATTTTTGATATCAGGGATCAGCACACTATGGTCAATGAGGCTGCTGCCTGTTTTGTAATAAAGTTTTATTGAAACATAGGCGTGACCCATTCATATTGTCTGTGGCTGCTTTTGCACCACAATGGCAGAATTAACTATTCTGCAGAGCTTAAAAATGTTTACACCTGGTCCTTTGCAGAAAAAGTTTCCCAGCCTCTGATTTACATTATAAAATGTATTCACACTTTTGTGTCCGTTTTACAAATGCCATATTTATTGGCAAACTGAAATTGCTCATGAGTAGAGCAATAAAATAATTGGAGTTTTTCCATTTAACGGCATAAGAAATATACTGGAAAATATTAGTCTTGTGACGGAACTATCTTTTGAAGGTGTACATTTCTGTAGTATCAAAGTGGGGGGAGTTTGGGGGGAGGTGCTTGCATATATGCAGAGTGGGTAGGGAAGAATTCAAGAAGAGACAGAGACAGAAATGAAAGGCAAAGAGATGAAGGATCCTGTGAACAATAGCTATTTAAGAGAGTTTAAATGGCAGAGTCTACTTTTTATGAAATTATCCAGACTCAAAATCATGTTCTATTATATTATGTGCATGATTAATATATTGCCTGTAGTCTATGATAAGTAAGCAAATAAGCTTTTATGTGTGATTCTGAATACTGTGGCCTCAGTACCCTAAGACGGTAATCTATCTGGTGTTTCCCCGAAAACTGAACACCATGCGGTTCAACCTAAAAACTAAGGTGATTATTATCCTGCTTCAGGATTTTTAAAGTGTAAAGTGCCTATCACTCAGAGTAATCCAGATTCTGAACCATGGTATTCTGACAATACATTTCACCAAAAATGGGATGTGAATGTTTTTTGACTTTCCCCCTGAAATAGCTGAAATAAGGTTTTATGCAGGAAAAGATCTGTATCTAAAAACATTTCTCTCCCAAAATATTTTGACTTTTCAAGTCCATCAACAAGCAACAATATCCCGCTCATGAGAGTTGTGCAGTCTGTCAAACACACGAAGAGGAAAAGCAGCACGGTGTTGAAAGAAGGATGGATGGTCCATTACACCAGCAAGGACACCCTGGTAAGATCCACAGCCAGCAGTTTACTCTTGGCTCACTAGCTTTCATTAGAAGAGTTGCTAGTGCCTTGACAAGACCGCAGGACATATGTTACCAGGAGCAAACCACTGCTTGGGCATGGCGTAGGATCCGGTGGAACACATTAACAGTCTCTGGGTGTCGGAGGTAGTTGAGCAAGCAACTGAGTTAGAAAAAAGTGTAGACAGCAATTTCAGGGAAACAAAGTCATTTACCTCTGTTACTTGAGATGATCTCCGAACAACTTGATCTACCTGTCATTTTATAGCAGTCATGAAAATGACAGCATGTATTTTCAGAATGCTCCTTTGTGATTCAGAATTTAAGGAAAAAAAAACAACACTGCATTTTAGGGAGAGAAAAAACAATGATAACTATTATACACTTTTTAAATCCTTAATTAAGTGTTCACTTAACAACTGACCCATTTGGGAATACAGTGATCCTGTATTTTATTAGATAAAGGACAACATATTTTAATTTTTTAAATGTAGTCTGAGGTGTTCACTACTCCAGATTTTTCTAATAGGTGATGAATGAGATTGTGCATGTGTGAAAGAGAGAGAAAAGAAAAATCTTCGTTTTTGTTTTGAACTAATAGACATTTGGTGATAAGCATCTTTTCTCAGTTACTGGTAGTGTTTTCCTCCTCACCTCTTATTTATAGGATCCCCAACATTTCTTTAGAAAAATAGACACCCATAACCTAATTACTCTATCTATAATATCAGTCTTCTCTGCTGGAGAGAGATTTACATGACTTACTATAGGATCCAATTGAATATCATTTCTAGTTCTTCCTAGACATGGCAGACATACAGTATTTAAAGCATATCTAATATATTTGACTGGTCTAAGATTAGTTGTGGTTGAGAACCAAGAATACTGCTAGGGCTTTTTGGTCTAAAAGGATGAATACACCCACACCCACACCCACACACACACACACACCCACCTACCCACCCCACACACACACACACACCCTAAAATTGTGGACCATAAACCTAGACTGAACAAGGACCTTATCACCAAATCATGGAAGTTTAGATCTGTAGTGAACTTAAGAGAACATAGAGTTTGATGCATTCCCCTGACTTCGTTACATTGATGTCATGGAGTCAGACTTGACATCCAACAAAATATTCTTTAGTTCTTCTGTAATATTCGGAATTCTTCCATCTCTAATGGAGGCCAGAATACTTGACTGGATAAGCATGGTATTCCTTATGTTCTGAAATAATGAGTATACATAAATTCTACATCTCTTATAATATCTCTTATATCTAACCCTTTTTATTTTATTACAAACTGCAAATCCACCTCTAGCTCTGCAAGCAGTCAAATAAATTTTTAAAATGGAAATGTACCTGAGTGGCGCAGTAGGTTAAGTGCGGGTTTCGGCTCAGGTGGTGATCTCAGGGTCATGAGATCAAGCTCCTTGGGCTCTGCAGTCAGCAGGGAGTCTGCTTCAGTTTCTCTCTGCCCCTACCCCTTGAGTGCTCACTCTTTCTCTGTCTCTAAAATAAATAAATACATCTTTTAAAAAATAGAAATATTTACTACGCATGCACTAAGTGCTATGTTTAGTTTACTAGTAAACTATAAGTTTACTATATTTGCACTACACTGGGTGCAAATATATTATCTCCTTTATTACTCCTAACTCTCTGATGGAGATGCAGAAACGTATCACACAATTGCTAAATAGTCAACTTCTTCTAGAGTCTAAAATTCAGTGTGAGTCTTCCTGGTCCAGAGCCCATCAGATCTTATGTCTCCATTGGGAAAATGTTTTGGTTTTATCATTCTTAGGTATTTTTTTTTAATCTTTGGTATTTTTAAAATTTTTAAAAGATCCTAAATCTAATTTCTGTTTCAGCGGAAACGGCACTATTGGAGATTGGATAGCAAATGTATTACCCTCTTTCAAAATGACACCGGAAGCAGGTACTACAAGGTAAGGATGGCTCTTGCCTTAATTGGAGTCTCCTGCTCCCTCTTGTCTTCTTGGGAATGTAGGGTGTTAGGAATACAGAATACGTCTAACAGACATGACTGTTTTGTGCTTGTTCCAGGAGATATTTTTTTTTTCTGTAGTTTACAGATTTGAGGGGAATCAGGTTGTGACCCCAAGTTAGTCATCTATGAATTTCAAATTTCCCTGAGGAGTGCTTCTGGCCCCATGGAATGGTGGTGGGGAAGAGGAAGTTTAATTGAGTATATAAGATATGTGCATTTTAACTAGAAAATTCAAAGTCCAGCAGATTGGCTGCATTCTTGATATCCACTACATCCAGGTTTTTTGTTCATCTATAGTCTTACAACACATTCCCCAGGGCGTTAAGAAACATTGTATGATGTCTCCATGCATTGCCAATATGCATAAGGAGCACTTTCCTCTAGAGAAAAATTTGGCAGCAGTTTCCACTTTGTCTCTCTACGTGAAATAGTACAGATGTCACATAATGTATCACCCAGTAAAACATGGTTCCAAAAGAAGTTCATGGTGAAAACAGTATATACTTGCTCCTTCAAAATTAATGCAGCCTCAGCCATAGTTGATATGACTCACAGTGTCTACTTTATACAGCTCTAACAGAAAAAGGAAACCTCATTAAGTTTTAAATGAAAAATTTATTTTAAAAGTTATTATTTCTTAGTCACTCCATACCTCTGCATAGACAATGTGGTGATTAATTATTTTTTGCTATCAAAATTGTCTTAAAAGCAATGGCTTTTAAAACCAGTCTCTCTGGTCTACCTCACTAAAATTGTTCATTTGGCTATACTATTATATTAACATCTGTTGAATCAAATTATATGATTCATTTTCAGTGCCTAAAAGGATAGTTAAAACTTAGCAACAGCCAGGCATACCCAAGTGCATTTCAAAAGTGTTGTGATTCTATGTCACCATTATAAAAATTAATCATTTATATTCTTAGATCTCAGTGCAGGTTCAAAATCATTATTCCTATTTGTACTTTTTCTTGCCACATGAACGTAGTAAAAAAGTCACTTGAATTTTTCTGGCAAGAGGAGATGATAAAGTTTCCCCCAGTAAAGGTACTTTTGAATTTTGCTTAGCAGTATTCTGTGTTTAATAAAACTATTTTACCTGAATGATGGCTATTTGTAATGTCATTTGTCACATGTGCCTAGCATGAATTTTATTTGAAAGTTTATAGACTTGTGATAAACTGCAGTTAGTACACTCTTTCTTCCACAGGAAATTCCTTTATCAGAAATTTTATCTCTGGAACCAGCAAAACTTTCAGCTTTAATTCCTAATGGAGCCAATCCTCATTGTTTTGAGATCACTACGGCCAATGTAGTGTATTACGTGGGAGAAAACGTGGTCAGTCCTTCCAGCCCACCACCCAATAGCAGTGTCCTCACCAGTGGTGTTGGTGCAGATGTGGCCAGGATGTGGGAGATGGCGATTCAGCATGCCCTCATGCCCGTCATTCCCAAGGGCTCGACTGTAGGTTCAGGAACCAACTCGCACAGTGAGTCTGCTCTAGTTTTGTGTCTGTAGAACAGTTGAAGAGAGCCTCTTTGGGGATGACTTAGTTTATTGGAGAACATTGGGTCTCTCAAATAGAAGCTGCTACACCTACTAAGGTATCTCATTAAATGATCATATGTTATTGTTTATTTTATATGAAAATTTGAACAAATTCATGTAAACCCTATGTATTAGGTAATAGCAGAAACCTAGAGCTGTTGTTGGTCCTAAAAGAAGGAGTAATCTAGTCAGCTTGCATTTGATCTGGAATGCCAGTTTTGTTATTTGCAAATGTGAGTTAACATGTTTCCTCAAAACCCCCTAACATGGTACTCTGTGCAGGATACTCGGTATGCAGAGTACTTGGAAATTCTTGATAATTGTATCCCAGAAAGAAGTCTCTGTTCATTAGTAGAATGAGACAGATTTTACCAAAATGCAACTGTGATCAGGTGTTGAGAATGAATTTTAAAAAGATATTTTAGAGGAATATCTATGTAAAAATGTGTAATTTTAAATTTCAAAATGGCTCTTAATAATGAAGCCTATGAGGGGGGAACCTGTTTTTCGTATTGCAGTAAGTTATCTGGTGATTGGTCACAACTTTTCAATTGATGTGTAAAGCAATGTACATATATAAATAGGTTATATATGTTTATTTTGGTGCTAAGCATTTTACGTGAGGTCTCTATTTTAAAGCCTAAAACAACCCTGACAGGTGGATGTTAATGATTTGCCTGTGTTACAGGTGAGGAAATCGGGCCCTAGAGAGATTAAGTTGTCTCAACTTTACCAGAGTGGTAAAGCGGCAGCCAGCATTAACCCAAGGCTTCAGGACTCCAGACTCTAAACTGACAAAATATTATTTTTCAAAGCCAAGTACAGAGTAAATCTGTAATTGTAAAAGGAAAGAAATATTCTAATGAACATTTTCCTAGAAACATTTAATTGCTGTGATTTAAAAACAGCCCTGCAGCTTGATTAGTAAAGCCTGTAATCTGCTTGCTTTGATGTTGCTTCTCTTACTTCTTTTGTGTATTTTTTAACATGTATTTCCAGGAGATATTTCTGTGAGTATTTCAGTATCAAATTGCCAGATTCAAGAAAATGTGGTGAGTGTGTACCTACTAATATAAAACCACATTACTAATGTGGTAATGTGATTCTTTATTGGAAAATAAGAGTATCCTAAAGTACATATTTATTTATCTAACATTTTAATTTTTCAGTATTTTCTAGAAAGTAAAATAGGGTCTATTGGGATATTTTTCTTCCATAAGATTTTAGAAACATTATATTATGTGGATTTTTTAAAGTGATTTTTCTTTATCCTGTAGTGTGGAGAGCTAAATACTATTATTCATCTCAGATAAACAATTATAATGCAGTGACTGATTTTTCTCACATTTGCCCACCTTGGTATTGGAATTTTAATGGTCAATATAACACAATACCAAACAAAATAAATTCTTTGAGTTGCACAAGCAGCCCTTAAATTCTCATTCCTTGATTGCTACCTAGCAGTGCTGTCTTATGACAAGGAGTTGTGAACGCTTTTAGAGTCACGTATGCTTATCAAGACCTCAGAAAACTGCATAAATCATTAGATTTTATGGGTCCATATTCTAACGCCCTAGTTGGCTATGCCACATAACTCCATCCTTTCAACTCAGTTTTTGAAAATCATTGACATGAGATAATTTATTATATTTTGTCATGACAGGCAGCCAACATGTAATAAAGCCTTTCCTACCCCGTCCTGTGACTCAGACCTTTTGCTCTGTTTTCCCTGCTATACCTATGACTGAAAGCAAAATGTTTACAGCCTTACTTACACTGATGTGAGTTTAATTTTTAAAGAATAAAATCCATGAAACTCTGTTCATCACTAGTTATAGCTTTGCATCCTTTGCTAAATTGGCATAAAGTAAACTGAAAACCAAAGCTGAATTGAAGAGAATTAGGAAAACTTCATAGTGAAGGTTAGTTGTAGTCTTATGCTGTTAATCTTGAAATATATTTCTAAACACTTGCACGTTCCTCTTGCTCTTGCTCAGCCAGAGAAGACTTTGGGAAATAAAGGTAATCTATAAGCCTCTTGGAAAATTCTAGATACCTGTCAGGTCATTCCACCCTGTTCAGCCACTGTTATCCACTGAAAATTTGGGGTGGGCCATTGAGCCATATGAAAAAGTTGGAGAAGCTGGGACTCAAAATACTGGAACAGTATTAATTTGTTTTCTTGTCTCCAGACAACCTTGAACTCAACCCATGGCTACTCTGAAGGCAGAACAGAATAGAGACAACTGGTAGTTGTTTTATAGGGAGGAGCACAAAGGAAAAGATAAGAGTGGGTAGGAGATGAAGAGGGTAGGATTTGATGTACAAGGACTTGCTTTCTGAAAGGACAAAGACTGTAAGAGTGGAGGACAGGCAGAAAATTCAGTATGATATAATAGGAATACATAAAGTGGAAAGTGGTGTTTGTGTTTTCATGAGTGTAATCATCAAATCAGAGACTGTAAGACATAGATTAAAACATAATGCTTTCTTTAGCAATTATTATTTCAAAGAGAAAAGACTAGACATTTGGATCTTGTGACCTCCAAAAGTAGTAAAAAATAGCTTCCTCACAGATGAGAGTTTCACAATGGATTGTCATCCTTTTGTGGTGTCTCCAACTCACAGTGATTCAGCCCCTTCAGTTTAGATTCATCTGGGTTGGATGGTTGATAGAGAAGCATCCTCACCATCCTAGCCATAAAGAGTGAAGTGACATGTGATTGGGACCCATGATTATTTAACCTGAAATTTCTAAATAACCATCCCCACAAGCAAATCTCTTTTTGAATACTTAAAGTAGCGTAGTATAGTTATAAGTCTTATTTCTCTCTGTTAAAACATATATGACTGAACATTGTGAAACCTCTGCTGCTTAAGAACCAACCAGTTTGCAAAAATATTACACTATTAAATTAATTGAAGAGTGTGCTTTGAATTCTGTAGTGATACTGCACATTTCATCTAGCATTTACAATCTTATCATTTACGTTAAAATATCTAATAATATTAGTAATGTATATAATAGACATATAATTTATCAGGACTAATGTTTTGTTCTACTTCATGTTTGTTTTTCATTGGACTTGCACCTGTAGGACATCAGCACAGTATATCAGATTTTTCCTGATGAAGTACTGGGTTCTGGGCAATTTGGAATTGTTTATGGAGGTAAGTTAGCTCACTAGTATTTTATTAACTTGGAATTTTAGCTACGTGTATTTAGAACAGTAATATCTCCAAGAAAAATATAAAAGACAAGACCTATGTGTACACATATTTGTGTATATATCTCTCTCTGTTTTACCTTTTCAGCAATTTCTCTTGAGATAGTCACTATCTAGAGAACTGGATATTTCTGTCTTGTAAGAGAAGTTTTTCTACTCCTAAAAAACTTCTTTTGATTAACTCTTGACAGAATCTATACACAATGCTGGTTAAATACTGGTTTATTTAGACAAAATATTGAGAAGGATGGAAGTTATAATTCATAAATTAGTTCCATTTCTTTTTAGCATATTTGATCAGAACTCTACAAGAAATCTATTCACATAACTAGACAAATAATCTTTTAATTCTAAAATCTGTGACAATGTATTTCATAAAGGTTGTCGTTTTTTAAATTTTTGAAATGAAATACTAGGTTTTTACCCTTTTCCTTATTGTCAAGCTATTTGGTGAACTTATTATTTTAAACTCTGCTGTTTTAGATTCTAGCCAGTTCAATTATAGTTTTCAAGTCTTTAAGAAACATTTAATATTTATGCTTTACCTCCCCTATAAACTGACACCACAACTTTCAGTTCTTGGATATAGTCAGTTAAAAAAAATTATCTTTTCTGTGAGGTGGGAGGGCTCTGAAATAATCACAATGTCTCACTCATTATTGTTTATGATAGTATAATACGTGCTTTTTTAGTTAAAAACTGATTAAGTTATATTCTGTTCTAAAAAGTGATTTGGGCCGCACCTGGCTGGCCCAGTCAGTAGAGCATGCAACTCTTGATCTTGGGGCTGTGAGTCTGAGACCCACACTGGGTGTAGCGTTTACTTTAAAAAAATAAAAAAATAAAAAATAAAAAGTAATTTTGATTCTTATAAAATGCTCAATGCTATTTTTTTATGGGAAACCCACAATGAGTCAGCAGACATTGTGCTTTTTGTTAATGCATAGCAGTGTAACAGTGCTGCACAGAGTATTACTCTACAGTGTAATCATTGCTTGCAAAAAAAAAAAAAGTCATGCAATATAAAACATAGTAAATATAACTGCACATCCTGTAGGGTTGAGAAATGAGGGCAGAGGGACCAGCAGGTGCCAGATAATTTGTAATACCCAACACTGAAGGAGCAGGCCCAGGAAGAGGCCTCCACAAGGAAACTGAAAAGTTTAGACCGGTCTCATAGGGGATGAAGCAGATGAGAACCACTATCAGAAGAAAGGTCAAGTACTCTATGTCATGACAGAGGAGTGGAAACAAAAGAAGGTCTGACCCTGAAGAGAGTAGAGAGTGGAATGACTAAGTAGAATAGAGATGGCAGTGCATCCAAGAGTAAGTGATGTTAGGGAAGTAGAGAATGGGAAAACAGGACAATCTGGGAAAGAAGGAAGGAGGTGTCAGAAGGAAGTCAGCAAGAGTCTGGAAGGAGTCAGAAGGCAGAGTGAGAGTAGAGTGTGGGGGAAGGAACGCTGGATTTACAGCAAATGGTATCATGGAATTTCAGGTTTGTTTGTATGTGAAAAAAAACGTGTAATTAGGTCATTTTCATACTTATTTAACACTACTCTATTCTATACCTACTACAGTATAGGAGTGTAGAAGTTAAGAGCTCGAGGGTGCCCTATAGATTCCCTAAAAGGTTTGTTGGGAGGCTTAAATGGGATGTAATGTATGTAAAAGGCCTGTCTTGTGATGACAATGACAGTGATGATGATGAAGGTTTTCTGAGTTTGTATAGTTCTCTGGGCAGTGTGTGTACCTTAGGTATCTTATTTCACCTAATGCTCAGAACAGCCCTACCATTGAAGATGAGGAACCTAAAACTCAGAAAGCCTAAAGTGATTTGCTCAGGGTCCCAGAGCTAGTAAGTGAGAGCCAAGACTTTTTATTCTTTCCCTTATGACATGCATTAGTTTATCAGGACTTTAAAATTATACTTTCTTAAGGAGAGCATTTTGCTGGTGGTATAAGATTGTTTATATTAAGTAGCTCAATATCGTGTTTCTAAATCATATATTTTTATGCAACAATATCAGGCTGTTGATATGTATAGCCTTTAAGGTCCCACTTTTGTTTTCTAAATTGTGGCTAATTTTATGGTACATATTTGATTTAGAATAAGGGAGCTAAGAAATGAAATCTTGATGGATGTAAGTCAATGCTCATTAGAAATGTTGTGTTCAATGAAACATTTTTGTAATTCCCAAAATTGTCCTTGTAAATTCTGGTGTTCTTTAATATAGATGATATTTAATAACATTATGCTAATATCTTCCTCTTTTTATTTTAAAGGAAAACATCGTAAAACAGGAAGAGATGTAGCTATTAAAATCATTGACAAATTAAGATTTCCAACCAAACAAGAAAGCCAGCTTCGTAATGAGGTTGCAATTCTTCAGGTACATCTTTGTTTTTCATTTGGAGTCTCTAAGATTGTCCCCCAACTTCCGCAGAACAAAGAAAAGGTCTCCGGATATCTATGGCATAGTTTTTTTTGGAAAACTTTAAAATAACTGGAAAGGCAGCTTGAGCATCCGACTATTGCCTGGGTAGTATCTTTCCTAAATCTGGGCAGTAGTTGTTCTCTTTTATGTACTTAATTCTGGGTTTTAATATATTATTAATGCTCATTAAATGGGTAATGTTTCAGCATTTGCTCACGGTGGACATGCTGAGACCATTTTGTTTTACATCGTAAATGACCTTACCTTCATAAACATTCCTCCTTTATGCTGTGATAATTATATGAATTGAGTATGGAACTGTCAGCATATTAGGTACATGAGTAATGTATGCCCGAGAATCGGATCGTCTTGGTATTATTAATGTCCTTTTTGTCTCTCACTGTAAGCCTTTCCCTTAATAGTGAGCATATTACTTAACTCCTTTCATTAACAGTAATCCCTTTTTCAAGCCAGAATATGTTAGTCAAAGATATTATGCGGTACATATAATTTTTGTAACCATTAAAACTTTTTCCACAGGCTAAAAGGAAATTGAGCAACTGTTTGCTAAATGTGGTCACCTAGCTATTCAGTCTAGACAATCAGGCCATTGATAAATGCCCATTTTTTATATAACCACCATAATTCTGTACTTGTTGTGCAAGCTGTTCATAATTTCTAATTCATAGCTTTATTGAATAATTTTCATTTGAACGTGGCTAACAGAACAGATTGCCTTTCTTCATTTATTGTTTCATTGAGCTGCCACTTATTGTTTCATACAATAAAAAGTTGAAAAAGATGCAATTTCTGCCCTAAAGGAGCTCATGTGCACAGACAACCAAAAATAATGCCCGCTATACATAGAAAAATAACATAGACTTTTCTGGGACTCAGAATTTCTAAAGATGGTGTTTTTGTGCTTTTGGACAACTGTGTAACACAGAGAACTACCACAGTGTTCTGTGTTTTCCTGGGGAAGATGATAACCAGGCTCTGAAGATGCCAGTTTCATAGATTCATAGCTTAGTGCTTGCTAATCAGTTACCAAAAAAAGATTTTTTAGAAAATTCTTAACTTGGCGACATGGAGCTGTTAATGACGTCTGAAAACTTAGTAAATGACATCATGCCAAACCTGGCCCCTGCTCTCCCAGTCTCCACTCCCAAGTGGTGTCCTGAAGGCTGATCCTTTGCAACATGCCAACCTCCAGACTGGCATATGTACAGAGACATTTATCCTTGCTTGCCAGACATGAGAGAGAGAAACTTCCTGGTTAGCATGGCTCTGTCATTTTACATGTTATTGCAGTGGCAGAGTGTGATCGGATAGATGTAGAAGGTCTAACTCTCTGTGTCTAGGCCCTGTAATTGGCTCTCCCCCACCTGTCAGTAAGTATCAGCTGCTGACTCTATAGTGAGGTAGAAAAATAAAATACACCTGAGCATAAACTGCCTCCCGTCTCCTCTTCTAAAAGAGTAGGTGCAGTCAACAACTCAGATACAATAAACAGACACTTGGCAAAATTTTCATTATGGTTTTCAAAAAAAAAAAAAGTTTGTTTAGGTTGAAAGTCAAATTCTGCCCCTTGAGCATGTGAGGAGGTTGAACAATTCTCATATTATGGCCTGGAATCTCAAAAATCCTCATTGCTAATCCCTCATCCCCACTGTCCCTAATCATTCACTTTATTCATCAAACTCCTATTGATTGAGTACATAGCATGAGCTAAGCACCGTCCTAGGTCCAGTGAATACAGAGGGGACAAGATGCACAGATCCTTGTTGTGGGTCTTTTTTTTTTTTTTCTTAAGGTGATTTTATTACAGCATGGGGACAGGTCCCATGGACAGAAAGAGCTGCCTGTTGTCGTGGGTCTTAATTTGAATCACTCAGCTATACCTTCAGTCAGATGTTTGCAACTTATTTATGTGTCGAATTTTCAATCACATAACATGTACCATGAGTCTTCTTAAGCCTTGGCTTAATTATATGCACTTGCGGGATTCAGAAGTTCATACTTTTATCATAAAGTTGCCAATTGTTTCAAAATTTCAAAAATAGGGGACTCATCCTATCTCCCAACTGAAACAAATGAAAGAAAATGTTTTAACCCTTTAACCATTGTCTGATTTATCAGCCTCTCTGGAAAGATTGTAATTCAGTATTCAAAGACAGTGAAGTTCAAGCTCACCTCCTTTGAGTCTTTGCTCAAATATCATCAACTATATAAGTACCATTCTTACCTTATTGAAAACTACAATTCATTCAGACCCCCTCCCATCCCTACCCCTGTGCCCCTCTTACTCTGATCTGTTTTTTTCTTCCATAGCCCTTATCACCTTCTGTTCTATTATAGAATTTCATTTATTGTATTTGTTGTGTGTTTCTCTCCCCAGCCCCTTCACTAGAATATACACATCAGGGGGGTAGATATCATTCTTTTGTTTACTGATATGTCCTGAGCCCCAAAAATTGTTCCTGGTACATATCAGGTGTTTAGCAAATATTTGTTGATGGAATATTTGTTGAATTAAAATTGTACAGAAACACCATCCTGTCACATAAAATGTCCTACATAGTATCTAACCAGGTAGCAGAAGTCTAGACTGCATTTGCTCTTAATGGTTAATTGGCTGGTTAGTTAAGAAGGATTAACTATGGTTAATGGGGTTAGTTCTTTGAAAGCCCTCATTGCCTCATTTTGTATTTATCAAAAGTAAGAATTCATCTTTTTGGACCTGAAAAGACAAAGTGGTAATGGGGATAGAGAGTGGGGCTTAGAATTCTGACTCACTAACTGGTATGTTCAGAAAAAGTACCATGAATGAAGTCAACTGGATGGTGAGCAAGGTTTTCTTCTACTACACTTGAGGAACAGAATTCCGTCCCTCTGGACATAAAAGTGATTCCTAGAAGCATTTGGCATTCTCTGCCTTGTGGTCCCCTACTTACGAAAGCTGGAGTCCTAGTTTATGGTTGTACCTGGAGTCTTACAAGTTTTGCCCTGTTCCCTTCCTCCTGATTCTCCAGAAGGGGCCATGTGGGCTGAAATGACTGATGGCAGAAATCCCTCCTCCTGCAGCTCTTCTAGTCCTCTGGTCAAATTCTGATGTGTTTCTGTTGTTTGTAGAAAAGTACCTTTGCTTATAGAAGACTTCAGAGTTGTGTAAATATGGACTATGTGAAATAGTAGAATTCTTTCATTGTCCATTTTCTCCTTGCTGTATAACCTAGGTCAGGGCTTTCCAAAATCTGATTCAGTCATTAGGAAACTAAGCTCTTCAGATATTTTTGAATAGTTGACAAATTAAGGCAAGTGTGAATCTTATGGCATAGTCATCCCTTATATCATTTAGAATAGCCTATTTTCGTTAGATGTAAATACTTCGTTATTATTTTTCTGTTTCAGTAGAATGTTAATGTACATGTTAAATGTTTCATAAAATCCCCAAGGGATCTGCTTATATTATTATGTTAAAAGTTGTACCTTGATTTAAAAAAAGACATAGCAAATTTAAAACTATTTTTTTTCTATTCATGTCAGCAAAATAAGAATAAGAAGATTGTTGTTTTATGATTAGGAATATCACAGAAAACTGACCTTTTACAAGGAGATGGCAACTATCTCTTGCAAAACTTAGAAACTTAAAATTTAAAGTAAATGGTATTGGTATATTTAATATACTGTACTAACATGGACTTGTTCAGTCAGAATTACAACACTAGCACTTCTGTTTATGATACAATGTGTGAAAGCATTTTGGAATTTAAAAAGGACCGAATATAGAATACATAATATAAAAAATACATAAGAATTTTATAAGCCATAAATTAAATGTATCCCTTTGCACTCCAGAATTACCTCGATTATTCTGGTTTCTCTGTTGTGAGGCACTCCTCTTCCCATTCAAGTCTCTCTTCCCTTAAAAACCAAAAGGCAGCAACAACCAAATGTGGTCTTGATATGTCCAGGCTGCCTTGCATAGGTGCATTCAGTTCTCCCTTCTGTGTGGCCACTCTTTAGATTTAGATCTCTCCTCTTCTTTCCATTCTTGTTCACACATTCCTTTGTCTTTGGTTTCCACACCTTTCTTAAAGAAAATGCAAGGTCCTTTTGCCATCGCCTTGTTTTCTCCTTCTGCCCATCTGTCACCCTTTGGCTCTTTTTCAGTCTTTATCCAGCTTGACTAATCTCAGTCCTTATGCGGCATTGATCATTTGTTCCCCTGCATTTACAAGATCCTCTCTCTCCTTCCCTGCTAGCTTCTCCAAACTTCTACCTGAACTTCTCCTTTCTTTCACCTAACTGGCCTATGCTAATGTGGGACTCATTCCCAGAGTGAGGTCATCCACTTTAAGAGCAGCCTCTGTCATCCCTTTCCAGGTCATCCCGTAATTTATCTTTGAGTTCTGATCTTCCAGAGGCACTTGAGTCTCATATTTTTGACCTTTGGACATCTCCACTTTGCTGGGCCAGTCTCACCCCAAACCAACCAGCCTAAAACCTAACACTTAATTGTAAGATCTTTCCCTGCAAGATACTCTCTCCCTAACTTTGTTTTGCTTTCATTCTTCCAGTTTCTAAGGCAAGAACCCTTTTCCTCAATTAATAAAAATATTAAGTCAATCAACAGTACCTACGAAGTACTTCCTTCCTTTATACAAAGCAATATAGTGAGCCTCTGGGCCATATAAAAATGAATGAAAGCTTTTAAGATATTTATCATCTATCTGGGCAGTCAGGTACAAGTAACTACAAGTCAGGATAGCTGTGGAAGCACAGTGAAAGAAATCCTGGATTATGACTGAGGCCAGGATGTTGGAATCAGTTCCAAGAGAAATATGGCATTGGTGAAGTCTTGAAAGATTCATGGGTTTTGATAACCAAAGAAATGTTGGAAAGGGTTATTAGGCTGAGGGGCCACCTTAGTAAAATAAATATTGTATGAAAAT